ATTCATCAACATCTATCTCATCCCATATTTTCTTCCCCAATTCTTTGCCTTATGTAATTGGGTTTCTCCTTATCTGTTCTCTTTCGCTACCTCCATCTGAAAAATTCTCTCGAATAACCTATAAATCTTTGTGTATTATCTGAGTAATTGAAATCTGGGTCGTCTTCTCTGCGGTGCTTCGTCCATTTCAGGTACTAAAGGTAATCTCAATTTGTTGACTTGCTAATTAATCTCTTCTTAAAAACATAAACACACATCATGTATGTGGTTTGTGGGAATGATTATTGATAGGAATTAGTTAATGGGTTGAACAGAGATGGGTAAGGATCAGCAAAATTATGAAGATAGAAAGATGTGCTCTGGATCGAACGAGAATCAAGAGCAAGTGCCTTCTTCAAAGGGGAAGAGATTGTGGGAGAAAGTGAAGTACCAGCTGGTGGAATACCACTCATTGCCTGGGTATTTGAAGGATAATGAGTTCATTGTTGGCCATTATCGGTCTGAATGGCCATTGAAGCAGGTTTTACTCAGTGTTTTCACCATTCACAACGAGACCCTCAATGTTTGGACGTAAGAATTCTGTCCTAAATGCACCACAAACTTTCATTGGATTTTCATAAAATGCATGGCTTTGATTTTGTTTTTCGATTCAATTAGTAGCTTTGGTGGGTCTTCTCTGATGTTCATGCAGACTTAGCTCTCAAATAAAGATGATGCTTTTTTTTCTCTAATTTCTTGATTTGCAGTGGATTTTACAGATGTATTCAACATAAGTAGAGTACCATTTGCCAGTTTAGGGTTTGTGCATAAAAATTGCTGAGAAATTTGGTGAATTTGTAGTTCTTTCGATCATTGGGATGTTGGGGACTGAGTTCGTAGCTCCTCGTAAACATTAAAAATCTTATCATATGTGTACTTGATGTGGACTTGCTGTCATGCTTTCTTCTAAGGATAATATGTATAATTTTGTTCCGGCGGCAAATCCCACTAACTAGTTATCAACTAGGTAGGCAAACTTTCTAGTGAGCTCTGTTCATCTCATAATTTAATTTTCCAATCCCACCCTACTAAGCGAACCAAATACGCCCTTACGTTTTAAGGTCACATGGTACAGTTATTTCATGGAGTTGAGTTACTTTATAGCTTATGGAATCAGCTAAGTGTGCGCGGTGATTTTCGCACAATAAAATGAATGGACAATCTCTCCCTTGACGAACACGAGTATTACTTGAAAGTCGATGATTCTGAGGTAAACGGAAGTGAGAAATAGTGTAAGGAGTGGTGATGAATAACTTTTCCAGCAGTCTGCGCGATTTCGGCTTGTCGAAATGGATTTTGCCACTCAAAAAAGAGAGTTAGAAGGGTTCTGGCGTGATCTTTCTGATTGTCAAGCCAGTACGTGAGAGAGGGGTGAAAATTCACTGTTCTATTGCTTGAATGAGAGTTGCGTACCTTTGCTTTGAGTTTTAGAGAGCTACTTATACCTCCAAGAAGGTAATCATTACTAGCAAGTGGGCCCCCCTTGAAAAAGAAGTCCCCCCTTGGCCCATTTGGAAGGCAGTGGGTGGTACTCAGTCTTTGGACTGAGCACCTTCCATTTTGCGTGGAAGAAACTCAGACATTAAATGCTCGGGCTCCCAAACACTTAATTCTCTTCCTTTTAAACTCTTTGAGCATTAAATACGTCTCATCCTCCTGAGGGATTATTTAATGCTTCACAGTAATGGCTGCGCACGAGTAAGGGCATCTTCGTCTATTGGCCCTTGATTTTGTGCTCTGTGCCACGTGTAACATCGTCATTGGTTATGGGTTTGTCCTCTCTGTCATTCTGACTGCTTTGAGAAGGCAAGTCAATGATTATTGATCAATTTTAACTCCAAGTAACAATAGTCGTCAATCTGCCACTTATGTCTTGGGGCCTTGGGTGTCTGGAAATGGACCTCGGGGACGTAGTCATGCCGAGGACATGTGTCACAATCTAAGCGCCCCAAGGTGACGTATGCCGAGGACACGTGTCACTCTGCAGAACCCCTTTGTATCGAGGATATGTGTCCAACGCATACGAAGCGGAAGGACCTTTTGTGCCGAGGACCCGTGTTGCATGTATACGAAGCCGAGGGACCTTTTGTGCCAATGACACGTGTCCACTACAGATGGAATCGAGGGACCTTTAGTGTCGAGGACACGTGTCTGAATCTGAGCGCTCCATGGGGATGTATGCTGGGGACACGTGTCGACTCCTTAGTGACTCTTTGAAGTGTTCCATCAACTGCCCCTAACCCTTGATCTTCGTACGGCGTAGGTGATGTGGCGTGAGAAGATGAAAGGGCTTGACTCCTGTCCTTACCTTCAGTCGCTTTCCTCTCCTTGGAGATCATGCTCCATTTAATGTGCCTCCTTCGTGCCTTGTGCGCAATGATGGGGGCTGTTTCTTCTATTTAAACAAAGCTTCTTGCTCCTTTCGTCCATTTCTGCAATCCTCATAAGTTTTGAGTCTTCCCACCGGAGCTTTCATCAGAGAATCCACTGTTTTCGCCTGAAGAGCCAACTCATCCTCAGAAATCACTGGCGAAGGAATCTACAAACTCATCCTCTGTAATAGGATCATTGGCAGTTGGCGAGTAACTGTTTTTTTCTCTCTTTTCCTATTTTCTGGTGACCATAGTCCCTCTATTCTCCTCATCTCAGCTCTAGCATTGTTGTGTTTAGTCTTCTTCCTCCTTTGTTATGCCTTTAGTAGTGATCTTTAGGTTTCCTAACCCTAGAAACCACCCCCTTCGTGTTCCCTTCTCTGTTCCAAATCATGCCGAGACGTCGTCGAAGTCAAAACGTCAGGGCCGATAAGGCTGAGACCTCAAGGTTGAGGAAGTACACAATCAAGGGCCGCCAACAAATCCCTAATTTTAAGACCCACTATTCCATCCCTGTTGGAGTCGCTGTGAATGAGTTCATTCCTGGACTTCACCGCATTGATGCTGACAACGAGGTAGCCATGCTTTTCTATACCAAGACCATCATCATAGAAGGCGGCATTAGGTTTTTCCTAAATCCCCTTCTCCGTTTTCTGTTCCACTTCCGTCTCTTCCTGGGGCAATGTTGCCTTAACACCTTCAGGATCATCATTGGAGTGGTGGCCTTGAACGAACGCCTTCAAGTCAACCTTAGCTTGGAGGATATTCTCTTCTGCTACGCCTTGTTGAGGGTGATGACTCAACAAAGGTTTTACCTTAAAGCTCGAGATCCATCCATGTACCTTGTGACACACCTCCCTGACTCGAACAAAGGGTACAAGGATGACTTGTTAGTCTTCAGTGGTCAATGGGAGAGAGGAGCCGGCCCCGATTACGACTGTTTGTGGTGCCCCAAGCAGTGGTGAACAACAAGTATGTCGGCTTCTCTATCTTTTCTCGGCTTTCATCATTTTGGTCAGCCTTTGCCCTTGTTTCGATCATGATTTGTTGTTCTCTGCAGGAGTCTCTGAGACCGAGTTTGCTCCTCCTCCTTGGAACCTTGTCAACCTCATCGACATCATCACTGTATAGGGGTACCTAGGCAACGGGTTTGCCCAATCCGCACACATATTGCTAGACTACCACTCGGGGTACAGGAAGTTCTCCCAAACCCCTCAACCTTTTGATCTTGCAAGGTGGTCGGCGCTGTCCAATGAAAACTTGGAGGAACACCCCGACAAAGCCACAGAAGTCGAGGTAAAGGCTGTTAAGGACACAGTTGCCGAGGTCAAGGAGATCAGGGATTATTCTACCACCATCAACGCCGAGGCGAGCACTTCTGGTAGAGGCATTTGGCCAGACTTTGAGGTTCTTTAACACTTAGACAAAGGAGACGCCTTAGAGGTAGCTATGTCAAATCCATTTCGCCTCTCCCTTGATTTGATCAGGGAACGGGTTGCCCTTGTCACCGGACGATGTCGTCACCAATCAGAGGCACACTCGCTCATCCAGGTTCCCAGCTAAAGGGTCCACACCCCTCCTTCCTCCTCCTCTTCCTCCTCCAACCGATGCTTCTGTCGTGCTGATGCCAACTAGGTGCAGTTGAGGGCACGCACAGGATTAACAATAGAAGGAGAGGAAAGGAGAGTAAAGCAAAGGCATGATGACGTAGGTCGAGGCACCCCCACTTCGACTTCAACAACAACTCCAATGCCTCCACCTACGCTGACGCCAAGTGTTCCAGAGTGGCAAGGAAGGGCCTGAGATCGGGACAACATTCTGATCCGAGTGGACGACTCCGCAGTATCCTCTCCCCATACTGCCTATATAGTGAGCGAGGCCATCCTTTTTGATGCTGACATGTCACTGCACAGGGGGTGTGGGAGCAACAACTTGTTTCTCTCCATCATCCAAAACTCCATGGCGGTAAGTTTTCATACTTGTATTTTTTTCTCTCTTTTTCCTTCTTTTTGGTTGTAGTCTTTCGTCGGCGTAACTCTTTCTTTGTTGAACAGACTGCCCAACAAATATCTGTCATCGCCGAGTGCTTCCACACTCACTGGGACAAGATCTAGGAGTGTGAGAGGCTTCAAGCTGAGTTAGAGAAGGTCCGAGGAGCAGTGGCCTAGGCGAAGGAGGAAGTGGCGGCTCGGAACAAGATCTTGTCTACCCAGGTGGCCCAAATTGCCGAGCTCTTCAGAGAGAGTAAGGCTGCCAAGGGGGATGATGACAAGGTGAAGGCTTCGCTTGCTGACGTTGAGAAGAGAATAACCGAGGCAACGAATCAATTGTCGGCGGCGGAGGCGAAGGTGATTGAGTCAAAGCAAACTTTTGTTGCTCTGACCCAAGAGTTGGACAAGTTAAGGGCTGAGCTAGATGCCAACAAGAAAATGGAGTAGGAGATCGTCGATCGTTGTGCCGATCTTGGTGGCCTTTAAAGAGAATAGGAAGGAGAGCTTCAAGGTCGGTTGGGATGATGCTCTTCGGGCTGCTTGGGTCCTTGCTAAGTTTCCAGTGTTCAAGGAGCATGAGTACACTCCATTTGAAGAGATGGAGCAAGCTACTACCGAGGTCGCGGCTGAAGATGTTGGGGTTCTACCATTTCTGACTTTGGTACCTGTAGCCGAGGTTGTGGCTCCTCCGCCTGTGCCTTGAGGCGATCCTGCTCCCCCTTTTGCTGATGCTGCTCTGACTCTGCCCGATGCTACCTCGACTTCTCCTATTGGAGCTGTGCCTATCCCTCAGGGCAACGTTCCAGTTGCTTTTGCCGACGCAGCGTCTGCTTCTCGCAGTGTTGACTCCTTCTCCGCAAGCATCGATGAACTCTTCAGAGATATTGGAGGGGGCATCGGTGGCGAGGTCACTAGGCCTCCAGGAGCTTAACTTTTGTTTCTTTGTAACTTATTATTTTGTCTTTCCTTTGTTCTTGTAGCTTGAGGGACGCAAAGCCCTCCCTTCTTTTAATGAACAAGTATCTTTTTTTTTTTCTTAGTATTTGCTTCTTCTTCTTTGTTTTTTTTGTAAGTGTAGTCCGTCAGGACTGAGGTCACAAGACCTGAAGTCAGGGACTCCTTACTTCTCGGGGGAAGTGTCTTTCCTCGGCCTTAGCTTCTTTCGTGCGAAAGTTTACAAGTGTTTACCCTTGGGGGATAACCCCCATCTAGGAGGCTTCGCACTTTGGGCCTCTCTGGACCGAGGTTACAAGATCTGAAGACAAGGCCCCCCTCCTCCTCGGGGGTACTGCCCTTCTTTGGCTTTATCTTCCCTTGTTAAAAAATTTACAAAGTGTTTCCCCTTGGGGGATTTGCCCTACCTTGGAGGCTCCGCCCCTTGGGTCTTTTTGGGGGCAAGTTCGCCTTTTTTTTTTTTCTGAAGCTTTGCCCTCGGGGCCATACCCCATCTAGTAGGAAAGAGTCTCGCGGCTCTGCCTCTGGGGCCTTGCCCCTTCTAGGAGGCCATGTTCTTGTATTTCTTTGGAGGCAAGAGTCTTAAGACTCCGCCTTTGGGGCCATGCTCTCTCTAGGAGGCCATGCTCCTATATTTCTTTGGAGTCAAGGGTCTTAAGACTCCGCCTTCGGGGCCATGCTCCTTCTAAGAGGCCATACTTCTGTATTCTTTGGACGCAAGAGTCTTAAGACTCCGCCTTCGGGGCCATGCCCCTTTTAGGACAACACTCTTAGCAAAAAATAAGCCTGTATTTCTCAAAAATAATACTTCTTCAAATTCATTATATTCCAAGACCATATTACAACATTTCCTTCCATATCTTCTAACTTGTATGACCCGAAGTCCCCTACTGACGTGACTCTGTACGGTCTTTCTCAATTAGGTCCCATTTTTTCATCGACTGGGTCTCGGGTGTTCCCGACTACTTTCCTAAGCACCAGGTCGCCCACTTGGAATCCTCGAGGCTTGACTCTCTTATTGTAGAGCCAGGATACCCCTTCTTGATACTTGGCTAGTCTTAAGACATCCATTTCCCTTTTCTTATCTACAAGGTCCATGTCCAGGCTGAGTTGATGATCGTTGTTGATGATGCACAAAATTGTATTGTGCAAGATCAACAGTCGAGTATTTGTAACAGTGTAATTAATGAGCAATAAACAAGCAATCAATGGCAAAACAATGAATAATAACAAACACACAGATTTATAGTGGTTCGGTCAGGGTGACCTAGTCTACTATGGGGAACGGCAGCAGTGTCCGATGTTACTTTCAGTCCCTACTATTATGAACTTCTTGTCTCTAGTAGCCCTTGAGAGGAGTCTAACCAAGACAAGTCCCCATTGGGCAAACGACCAAGGACTGGTTAGTGGGTGCAGGCCTCCTGTTGTCTGTTTAATGGCGGGAGCAAACCTTTGACATTGATCACATTTTCGGACGTAAGCTTGCACATTCCTTTGCATCTGTGGCCACAAATATCCCTTTGACAAGGTGCGATGGGCCATTGATCGTTCGCTTAAGTGCCCCCTGCATATGCCCTCGTGCACTTCATACAAGAGGGGCTCAATTATATCTTCGTGGACACAAAGCAAATAGGGTCCAGAGAACGACTTCTGGTACAACTTTCGATCCAGGGAGGCCCAGAACCTCGGGGCCCTTAACTTTATCTTCTTAGCTTCCTTAGGATATTCAGGGAGTTCTTCGGAGACAAGACACCTGAGTAGCAGATCAATCCAGCTAGGGGACTCCTCTCCCTTCTGGATGACTACCACTCCGGAGACGTCGTCTATGCTGGAGTTGGGAAGGAATTCCACAGTAATCCTTTGTGTCGTGTAGGAGTCCAACACTGAGGCTAGACATGCCAAGGCATTGGCGTGGACGTTCTTATCTCGAGGGACTTGCTTGATTTCTACCTTCTTGAACTTGTGGAGTAAGGTCACGGCTTCGTGATGATATGCTTTCATTCTCGGATCCCTTGCTTTGAATTCTCCATTAATCTGGTTGACCACAAGTAAGGAATTGCAATGGACTGTTAACTCTGTAGCCCCTGTTGTGTTGGTTAGTTTGAGTCTAGAGATAAGAGCTTTATACTCTGCTTCATTGTTAGATGCTTTGAAGCCCAGAGGTACGGCTTGTTCCGTGACCAGTCCTTCTGGGGAGACTAATAGTACCTCGATTCTGAAACCCTTGCTGTTAGAGGATTTGTCCACGTAGAGGCTCTAGGAGTGCGCTTGGCTGTCCGGGGAGGGTTCCACCTCGAGGGGAGACGACTCCCCCTTGGTAAATTTAGCTATGAAGTTCGCCAGTACCTGACCCTTTGTCGCCGTATGATGTTTGTAGTGAATATCATGTTTACCCAACTCCACTGCTTATTTTACTATCCTCCTATAGAGGTTCGCCTTCCCTAGGATCGCCTTCAAAAGTTGATTCGTAAGGACGGTGATTGGGTGCGCCTGAAAGTAATGTCTCAACTTCCTCGCGATTGTGACTAGTGCTAATACGAGCTTCTCCAATGGCAAGTACCTTGTCTCTGTATCCAACAGAGCTTTGCTGACATAATACACTGGCTCCTGTTCGTGCTCATGCTAGTGGACTAATATGTCGCTAACGTCGTACTCCGAAACATCCAAGTAGAGGAACAAGATGTTCCCCTTTTCCGAGACTAACAGGGTGGAGAGCACTTTGAGGTACTCCTTGATCCCTCCGAGTGTCTCTTTGCATTCTTCATTCCAAGTGTCTTTTTCGGACCTCTTGATTGCTCTAAAGAAAGGTCTGCACTTGTCCAATGATCGAGATATAAAGCGATTCAAAGCAGTTAATATCCCTGTAAGTTTCTGGATGTCCCGGACAATCCAGGGGCTGTGTACGTCCATGATAGCTTTTATCTGCTTCGGGTTGGTTTCGACTCCACGACGACTTACTAAGTATCCCAGGAACTTTTCAGAGCCAACTCCGAAGGCACACTTAGCCACATTCAGTTTAAATCCATACTCCGGAGAGTAGAGAAGGCGTCTTCCAAGTCCGCGATGTGGTCACCCTGTCTCCTGCTCTTGACTAGCGTGTCATCATTGTCCACCTCCATGGTGTTCCCAAGTTGTCGCTTGAACATCCGGTTCATGAGTCTTTGGTATGTAGCGTCCTCATTTTTCAGACCGAATGACATGACTTTATAACAATAGACCTCCCTTGGAGTGACGAAGGAAGTCTTCTCCTGGTCAGGTGGATGGAGGGGGATCTGGTGACAAACTGCCTTGGCGTCCATGAAGCTCATGCGCTCATGTCCCACCGTAGCGTCGATCAATTGATCAACTTTAGGGAGGGGAAAATCATCTTTGAGATAAGCCTTGTTCAAGTTTGTGAAGTCTACGCAGACACGTCATTTCCTATTCTTCTTCCTGGCGTAGACGGTGTTTGACAACCATTCTGAAAATTGAACCTCCCAGGTGGCATCGGCTTCTAGGAGCCTCTTTACCCCTTCGTTTACCACATGGGCGGGATGCGGCGCCGTACACCATGATTTTTGCTTTATGGGCTTATGAGTGGGATTAAAATGGAGGCCGTGAGTTATAACATTGGGACTTATGCCTTTTATCTCCGCAGCGTCCCATGCAAACACATCCACATTCTTTCGTAAAAAGTCGACTATCTCCTCCTGCTCGACTAGGGACATGGCAGATCCGATCAAGAAGTATCTCTTCTCGTCTCCCTCCACTAGGAATACCTTCTAGAGGTCCTCTACGGAGAGTTTTGCTGGGTCAATCTACGGCTCATCGACTCCCAGCTGTTCGGACTGTAGTTGTTATTTGTTCCATACCTCTTCCAGGGGCACACTCCTCTTTGGGGGCGACCCCGACTTTTACGCTGGCATAGAAACAACTTTTCGCAGAGGCCTGGTCTCCACAAATCTCCATTATCCCCTCCGGAGTGAGAAATTTCAACTTCTGATGGTAGGTGGAGTGCACTGTCCCAAGCGAGTATAGCCAAGTCCGTCCCATGGTAATGTTGTATGGTGAGTCAGAGTGGATCACCACAAACTTCGTGTTGGTCGTGACAGGTCCCATGGTGACCGGCAGAGTAATCTTCCCTAAAGGTAGGACAAACGATCTATTGAACCCGACAAGGGGTGTCTTGACCCTAGTAAAATCCTTGGATCCAAGGCCCATTCGTTTCAAAACATCAAGGTACATCACCTCCGATGAGCTCCCTGAGTCCACCAGCACCCTCTTGACGTCAAATCTGCCAATCCACAAGGTTATGATCACTGCATCCTCGTGGGGGAGGTCCATGTCTGCCAGGTCGGCATTGGAGAAGGTGATACTTCTATGATCCGTCCGGGGCCTCTTACTTACCTAACCCCCATTTTTGTCTTCCACCTTTCGGGCGAAGGCTATCCTCTAAGGCCGGACCTAAGAGTGTTAGTTGTCGGCCTCTCCAGGGGGCAGACGTGGATGATATTACTGCTGACAGTGGCTTGGTCCTCGCCAGTGTGTGTATCCCTTGATGGATCCTCTTCAATGAACTCCTTGAGGTATCCCTCCTGGACCAACTTCTCAAGGAAGGATTTATAAACTCGACAATCTTTGGTGAGGTGCCCCACATCCTTGTGGTATGAATACCTCGCATTCTGGTTCTTGGTGGACGGATCACCATGCATCTTGGGTGGTCACTTAAAAAAGGGCTACTTCTTGATTTTATGCAGCAACTTGTAGATGGGCTCTTTGAATAGGTGTGTGTCCCTCTGAAGGAGTTTCCCGACACTGGGATCAAACCTTTCCTAGGAGGGTTTCCCTCCTTCTCCTTCCCTTTTTTCTTCGGGGCCAAGTTCTTTCCTTTAGCCCCCATCATCTCGTTTTCTATCCTGGAGTACTTATTGATTTGGGCCATCAACTCGCCTATGTCCATTAGCGTCTTCTTCGTTAATGATCTCTAAAGGTTTGTGTCCCTAGAGAGGTCAAGTCTGAAGGAGGCCACAACCATGACCTCGGAGCATCTTTCCACCTTGTTTACCTCTTCCCAATAACAAGTGGCATATTGGCGGAGGGTTTCACCTTCCTTCCACCGGAGGGTCAGCAACGATCCAACATCCTTGGGGCGCTTGCTCCTCGTGATGAACATTGCGGAGAATTGTCTGGTCAGCTCCTTCCAGGATCTTATGTTATTTGGCGGAAGGGTCTCAAACCATTTTATGGCCGTATCGCCTAGGCTCATTGTGAACACCCGACACACCAGCCTGTGATCCGAGTGATATAGGGACATCATTTGCTTGTACTGCTGGAGGTGAGCCTTCGGGTCGAAACACTTGTCGTAAATTTTGAACTGTAGCACCAAAAATTTTTTGGTACCTCCATCTCCATGATGTTTTTTGTAAACGGTGTCAAAATGGTTTCGTTATTCGTGTCGTCGACAGGGGTGGACTTGTCCATCCTCATAGAATTCAACTTATAGTCCTGAGGTCTTCGTCAGCCTCATGGTGTCTCCTTTCTCCATCTCGGCGTCAGGCAGCATGTGTCCTAGCTCCTTCGTTCTTCACAGAGAGGGCGGACTCTTCTGCGCCCACTCGTCCGGACAGTCTTCGACGGAGGTCATTCTAAGGCAAAAGTTTTGTCTTCTTGGCTTGGACCTCCGGGTCCTGTCCATTGGCCCTCGGGCGCTTTGGAGTCTTGGAGCACCCTGTTTTGCCACTGAGGCACTTCCTCAAGTCGCCGGGCGTCACCTCCCTGACGGAGGGCCCATTAGACAGTTGTAAGGTTTGGGATCCTCCATCGAAAAATGCAAACTCGTCGAGTCTGTTAAGGACGTTCACGTTATTCTCCTCTATTTGCCATAATCGATCTCCCAACCGTTCTTCGATAAGATCGACGAGTTGACGGGCTAAGGGATCATCTTTTTCGCCCCCAAGATTCAGTTTTGTTTGGTGGGTTTTTTTCCGTCGAATAGATCGAGAGCTCTTTGTTGACGCCTTCTACACGATCCTCCGTTCTTGATACGGAAGGAGCTAGTATATCCAGGGTCCTTTGCTGAAGACCCTTTCTTTTCAAACGAGTGTTCACCATGGTCATTGTCTCAAGAAAAACTTGGTCTTTTTCCACAGACGGCGTCAAACTGTGCGCGGTGATTTTTTCACAATAAAATAAATGGATAGATCTCTCCCTTGACGAACACAAGTATTACCTGAAAGTCGATGATCCCGAGGCAATCAGAAGTGAGAAATAGCGTAAGGATTGGTGATGAATTATTTTTCTAGCAGTTTGTGTGATTTTGGCGTGTCAAAATGGATTCTGCTACTCAAAAAAGAGAGTTAGAAGGACGTCGGAGTGTTTTCTGGTGTGACCCCTCTGACTGTCAAGTCAGTATGTGAGAGAGGGGTGAAATTTCATTGTTTTATTGCTTGAATAAGAGTTGCGTACCTTTACTTTGAGTTTTAGAGAGCTACTTATACCTCCAAGAAGGTAATCATTATTGGCAAGTAGGCTCCTTGAAGAAGAAGTCCCCCATTGACCCATTTGGAAGGCAGTGGGTAGTGCTCAGTCCTTGGTTAGAGCATCTTCCATTTTGCGTAGAAGAAGCTCAGGCATTCAATGCTCGGGCTCTCGAGCACTTAATGCTATTCTTTGTAAACTTTTCGAGTATTAAATATGTCCCATCCTACTGAGAGATTATTTAATGCTTCACTGTAATGGTTGCGCACGAATAAGGACATCTTCGTCTATTGGCCCTTGATTCTGTGCTTTGTGCCATGTGTAACATTGTCATTGGTTATAGGTCTGTCCTCTCTGTCATTCTGACTACTTTGGAAAGTCAAGTCAGTGATTATTGATCAATTTTAGTTCCAAATAACGATGGCTGTCAATCTGCCTCCTATATCTTGGGGCCTTGGAGCCGAGATGATGTGTCTGAAAATGGACCTCGGGGACATAGTCACGCCGAGGACACGTGTCACAATGTAAGCGCCGAGATGACGTATGCCGAGGACACGTGTCACTCGCAAAGATTCTGCAGAATCCCTTTGTGCCGAGGCCGAAGGAACTTTTGTGTCAAGGACATGTGTCGCATGCATACGAAGCCGAGGGACTTTTAGTGCCGAAGACACGTGCCTGAATCTGAGCGCTCCGAGGGGATGTATGCTGAGGCCACATGTCATTCTTTGGGAGCCCCATATTTATAACGCCGAGGACACATGTCGATTTCTTGGTGATTCTCTGAAGTGTCCCATCATTAAGCATCTTTCTCCTTCAATATTCGGTTTCACCAGGCTATCTTTATCGACATATAACATCAAAAGAATATGGTGAAATTAGTTAGCAAAAGAGCTAGTTTCTTGCATCCTACCGATCTCTTTACCCCAGCCCATAATAAAACATAACACAAATACTGTAGATCATGGTTTTGAGTCCGGACCTCTCCATAATAGGTAGGGTTCCATATTAATTAAATCTCCTAGATTCCTCTATAGACAATATTCTTGTACATTGAATCATAGTTGTCAAATCGTGCGTCGGAAGGTATAGCATTTTTTAAAAATAGTGTATCACATTGTATCGTGTATTGTAAGATACGGCGTAATTTTAAATAATTAATAATAAAAAAATATATTTTTTTAAAAAATCATAAACTCATAAAAATATAATATTTCATTAATATTTCACTTACTATTCAAGTCACTAATATAATTTACTAATATTAAAAAAATAATAAAGGGTATCAAATTAAATTAATAGTACTTATATATACTTAAAAGTAAAAAGTTATAATGTAGGGGGTATTAAATGTAATTCTTCATTCTTATAACAAAAAAACAGTCGTGGGTCTCACGAGACGATCGAACATGGAACACAGAGAGAAAAGAGGCGATAGGCAATGGCGATGCTGGTGGTGGAGAGAGAGAGAGAGAAGAAGAAGAAGAACATACCTGGTAGCTGGTCCCTCATAGTCGCAGCTCACAGCGATGAAAATAGAGATCGGGAGACAAAGAGATAGAGATCGGGAGACAAAGAGAGAGAGATCGTGAGACCTAGGGTTTCATCCGAAATTTACAGGTTAGTGTTGCTATTTTTTCTAATTTCAAAAATTTGTTTGATTTGCTTGGGTGTTTTTGCTGATTTGTGGGTTTGGTGGATTGGTAATTCTTGTCTTCTTCATCTATGTTGCCTTTTATTTGGCATTTTCTTTATCCTCTGATTTGTGGGCTTGGGTGTCTTCATCTCTGTTTTTGCTGTCAATGATTTAGTGCGAATCGGTTTGATTTGGTGCGAATCAGGCTGTCAACCAAAAAAAAAAAAAATTTAAACAGAGACTTCGTGTATCGATTGTATCGACCGATACGTATCGTATCGTAAAAACGTATCGTGTATCGCACGATACAACGTAAAAACGATACAAAACTACGATTCATATCGTTTTAGTCCTGTATCGTGACGTATCGTACGATACATATCGCGTATCGTACGATACTAACAACTATGCACTGGATACAACCTTTTAGACTTATGTTGCACAATTTGTTTGGATGCGATGAACACACCTATTTGTCACCCAATCCAATTTTATTTTGGTATTGAGACCTGTTGTGATTCATTTCCTAGAACGTTTCAATAACCATTGGTGAAAAAATTGAGACAACTTCTACTTTTTGTTTTTATTTGTTCCTTTTACATACGTTAGCAATCACTAATGTTATTGAGACATAATTTAGGGACATAATTTGAGGACTTAATGCATTATAACCATTGGATTGATAGTGAAGCACATTCAATGGTGGGACCCACTAATAATCCAATGACCACAATCATTAAATCCCCAAATTATGTTCTAATAGCATTGCTCGTTTGCAATACAGGCTGTTAATGTGATTTTTAACCCTCTAAGGTCTACAAATATGTTAATTGGTATTCTGATATCATTTCTATTATTATTATTATTGTTGGTGTTTGTTGTTTGTTCTCGAGGTATGTAGAATTTAGATGTAAGCATGAGCTATTGCTTGTCACAGGCATCTGATAGGGTTCTTCCTCTTCCTTGCTTTGACCATTTACACTGCAATGAAGATTCCGAAGGTTGTGGATCTCCGTACCCTACAACATATCCCTGACGTGCTGAGAAAAGCTGATCTGCATAAACTGCATGCAGAACTCATGACCTGTCTTCCTTCCTTACCAAACATGCCTGATTTGCATAGGCTTCGGGAGGAGTTAAAGACAGCATTGCCTTCCATGGATTTGCTACCATCACTATCGAATTGGCATATTGTAGAACTGCTCACTAATTGTTTGCCTGAGCGATTCTCCCATGCCAACCATTCTGATGTTTGTGTTCTGGTAATGTCCTTTGTAGTCAATGATCACATTTATAAGCTCAATTTTTGAGAAAAATGCATGTTTTACATGCTATAGTTTGTCCTAACAACATTTGCATGCACTTTCCAGTTCTGAATGTTACTCGAATCTATCATTTTGGATATTCTTTGTATTTGGATGGTTAATTATTGTAGCTGCTTATCTCATGCTATCTACGTAGCTGTAGCCAAAATGTGTGCCCAAACTTCAGGAATAGTTTTTGGTTGGAGCTCATTTTCATAAACCTTTTTGGGTTCAAAATATGCTGGGTTATTATAATGATCCTCATGTTCTGCTGAAGCACTTCGTATGTTTACTCTCTCGTTCATTTTCCCAATCCATCTTTCTGAAGGTAGTAATAATCAAAAAGGAAAAAATAGTAGTTAGTGCCTGTTTGAAACTGTTGTCTTAAATTTAGTTATGCATTTTGGAACCGTCCTTGATAAGGAAATAGTCTCTTTCTCCTCCCGCCCTTCCGTATTAGAATGAGCTAATAGATATTTTTTTTTGGTCATGATTTGATCATATGCAGCATAGCATGAAGGAAGATCTGGCAAACATTATTGCTCCCTTAATGATGAGGCCAATCACACGTTGGCCATTCTTTGTTTTCCTGGGTGGGGCCATGTTTTGCTTGCTAGCAAGCAGCACATGCCATTTGCTCTCATGTCACTCTAAGCGAGTATCATACATCATGCTTAGGCTGGACTATGCTGGTATTGCTGCCCTGATATCAACCTCATTCTATCCTCCAGTCTACTATTCCTTCATGTGCTACCCGTTTTTCTGCAATCTTTACATGGGATTCATAACTCTCGTGGGAATTGGCACAATCCTTGTTTCCCTCCTCCCAGTGTTCCAAAACCCAGAATATCGTAGCATCCGTGCATCCCTCTTCTTTGGGATGGGTGTATCGGGGGTAGCGCCCATTTTGCACAAGCTTATCTTGTTCTGGCACCAGCCCGAGGCACTCCATACAACTGGATATGAGATTTTGATGGGGGTTTTCTATGGGCTTGGAGCTCTTGTTTATGCAATGAGGGTTCCAGAGCGGTGGATGCCTGGAAAATTCGACATTGCTGGACATAGCCACCAACTTTTTCATGTATTGGTAGTGGCAGGGGCCTACACACATTATCAGGCTGGACTAGTTTACCTCAAGTGGCGTGACATGGAAGGGTGCTAAGAGTTCATTGGAGAAAGATGAACTAGTAGTAGAAGTCTCTGCTTAATAAGTAATTCAGATGTGTACGTTAATGCAGCGGGAAGAGGTGCTCTCCCCTTATTACGAATTGAACTTCTTTGTTAATGAATTGTTGGATTTATCAGCCTTCTTGTTAGATGGGATCGCACATCAGTCATATACGAATGACTAGGCACGTGTGTTCTCAATACAAGTACATGAATAATACAAGTACACGTATTTTCAATGGAGTACTTGTTAGATCTTGAATGCAGGATTTCTGCACGTCTCGGCACTTTCGGTTGTAATGCCCAGACTCTGGCAACAACATGCTCTCACCAGGCATCCTCCATGAACAGGTGATTGTAAGGGCCTGTTCAGCTGGCAAACCATAACATAGGAGAGCATGTTTTCTTTATATATCTAACCAAATTGTTTGGTTTGGGTCTTAAAAAACAGTCTTTGAAAACTGTTTTTAGTGTTTTTTCTGTCGCATAATTTGTTTGACTATATGAGGTCAAAAGTAGTTCTACAGAAGAAAAAACAGTAAAATTTGTTTCGACAGTAATCCAGAAAATAATGAAAACAGAAATGTGGTGATAGTGGTGTGGTGGACATGGTGGAAATGTGATGATGGTGGTGGGGATGGAAGTGTGGTGGTGGTGGTGGTGGTGGTGGTGGTGGTGGTGGTGGTGGTGGTGGTAGTGGTGATGGTGTTTTTTAAATTTTGAAAATGTTGTTTTAAAAAATACACAAAATAACTCTAACTTGTTTTTCTTAAATTTATTTATTTTTTGTTTTCAGTTTTTAAAAAACAAAAACAAAAAATAACTAGTTAAATGGTTTTTCTCCTAGAAACTGTTTCCGATAAAAAAAAAAAACAGTTTATGAGATATAAATCAAACAAAGCTTTGTTTGATCCTTTGAGATAGTGAAAAAGCAAAGTGTTTGCTCTCATTGAGAGTTAAACTCCAGACTGCCTGCTTACTAAACGGATGCTCTACCAACTGAACTATGAGAGCTCAACGAATTACAAATGAAATTAAAAAAAATTAATTTGCACACTCAAAAATGTGTTAGACGCACCAATGTGGCAATTAGGGCTATGCAAAAAACCCCTAAACTCAACCACCCAATCCGTAACTGACCCTTCCAAATGAAAATGGACGGCTAAAACTCTTTCTGGTTCGGCCTGCAAAACTTATAAATTATTACCCGATTAAATCGGTTCAGATAACGGGTAAATTCAAGTTATAACCCGAAATACCCGAACTGTTCGAATAGTATATTAATAATATAAAAATTAATTTTGTCCTTTAAAAAAATATAAAAACAAAAAAATAAAACCCTCCAATTCCCAAACCCTACTCTGTCTTCTTCTTTAGAAAAAGAGCGTGCCACCTCTCGTCACTCTTCTGCCTCTTCTCTCTCTCCCAAACGCTGCCTTTCTTCTTCTTCTTCCTTTGCTCTTCATTTCTTTAGCTCTAACCGTTCTTTGAGTACACGATCAGACAAGATATATTTGAGTGGATTTTTGGATCTACAAAGCAAGCCTAAGGATCTCAAACCTAACTGATCTTCAAGTACATGATCAGACAAGATATCATCCCGTGGATTTTTGGATCTTCAAAGCAAGCCTAAGGATCTCAAACTCAAGTTTGACTGGTTCCAAAAAAATGCCTCTGATCTTCAAAATGATCTCAAACTCAGGTAAGATGCCTCTGATTTTTTTTTAAGGTTTTTGACTTGTAAGATTGTATGTAAATAGGGAAGTTTAACATTGAAATGAAGTTTTGAAAGCTTACCAGCAAAAAAAATAGTTGTTGAAATCTGGTTGAGAGTATTAACCGAAATCGATCCGAAACCGACTGACTTATAGGGTTGATTTTCGGTTCAGTTGTGTATTTTGATTGGGGCGGTTCGGTTGATATAAACTACTTCTGACCTCTGTTAGTTCGGCCAACGGAAGTCTTGACTTCCGACCCTATATGTAAATTGAACACCCCTAGTGGCAATGTCGGACTCCGCTACAGCAGGTATAATTTCCTTGGGCCACCAGCGTCAGAGGGTCACATGACCCGCGCCATGGATTTACTACTGAACCGTCATAATCGGGTCTTGGCCTCTTTAAATCCCGTTACTATTGCTACATTGGTGCATCTCGTGAATTGATAACTCTGCCGTGGTCGTGTTTAATGTACAAAACTCATGTCCATAAAATGATATGAGATTAGATGTATTAAAATATTTCCAACCAAGCAATGGTTAATCTAACAGACTATTTTTTTTCTAGAGTTTTGAATTTCTTCGTGCATAATCTTGTGTTTGGATGGTGAGCAGTTGTTGTTCTAGCAAATAAGACCATGAAAAAAGGTTACCTTTAGAATTTGGCTGCACTTATTTTTTTGAGTTCATTTGCTTTTTTTTAAGGGTTCGCATCTTCGGTCCTCATATTTTTTTAGACTCAAATTTAAATTTAGATGAATTTTTTTTAAAAATCTTCTTCAATTTTGCACTCGAACTCATATAAAATCAAGAGAGACCCAAATTTTAGACCTAAATCAGGAGAGACTCAAAATCCTAGACCCAAAATCTAATAGTAAAAAATCCACTCCAATAACTTCTCCTCCACACCTCATTCACAAAATAATTATCAAAGCAAGAAATAAAGAATAGAAAGGGATAAAGGAAGAAGATAAAGCAATGCGAACGAAGAAAGCCAAAAACGACTATTATTGAACACCACACAAAACAAATGCTTACTTCTTAAACCTAGTTACTGCCAACCAATTTAAGAAAAATAAGGAGTCTTGTCCAACAAGACAACTAACTCTAATTAAGCAGTATCTTATTGGAATAGGAATAATTAACAAATAATAATAATAAAACTATAATACCAATAAATAAATAATAGGAAATTTAGAGAGTTTGAGTCAAACTCCAGCAATCTCCCTTGAGCCAAGTTCTTCAATCTTGATCATTTTCATCATCCACTTCAGCTTCACGAACGCATTAGATTTGAGTAGCTTGATAAAACTATCTGCAATTTGATCATAAATTGACAATATAAAATCTCAATTTTGCCATCAATAACCAAGTCTCGAATATATGATACTTGACATGAATATAATTGGTCCTCCCATGAAAAATTGAATTCTTTGACAATCCAATGGTTGACTTATTACCACAAAAAATCTTTGGAGGAATTTTCTGTGAATATTGCAAAAATCCAAGCATACTATGTAACCACACCGTCTGAGTAACACAACTAGTGGCTACATTATACTCTGCTTCAGTGATAGAACGAGTAACAACTTGTTGTTTCTTCGAAGACCAATAAAAAATTCTTGGACCCATCTGAAAATAATACCCTAAAGTACTCTTTATTTTTTTCACATCACCTTCCCAATCAATGTTTTTATACCCTACAAGTTCACAAGGACTAGTAGGTGAACAAATGATACCATCACTGTCTTAAAATTCTTTTTGATGCTTAGAAGTGGGATTAACGTTGAGACTCAATGTATCTGCTCGCTTTGAAACGATCCACCTCATGTTTGACTTGTAATTGGTCTTGTACACCTATTTAACTTGAATAGCCTTCTTTTCGTCGAGAAAAAAAGTAAGTTCTCATGTGTTATTTTTCTTAATTGCATTAATTTCTTCATCTATTGCTGTTACTCAATGTTTCTCCATGCAGTTATCGTTAAAAGAAACAGGATCACAATGTGTATATAAAACAAAATTTACCAAATCCTCATCTGAACGATTAGTGCCAATCACATAATCTTCTAATCTAACTGGCATGTGGCGTTCAAACTACCAACGGGCCTTTGGTCTAATGATATTCCTTATTTTATGAAGACTTTGTTTTCTTGAAGTCAAGGGTTTAAGTTTCCCATCCTTTCTCTCCCCCCCAATTTTTTTTTTTTTTAAAAAAAAATGTGTCTTTCACACTGTGAACGCTTGAATGACTCTATCTGCGAGGATTGAACAACTAGAGACTGTGCAACTGACTGATTACCAACTGAACCATCAATATCAAAAAAAACAAGTGTGACTAACTTGTCTTCCTTTTGGGACCAATCACAAACATCCTACTCATCAAAAGTGACATCTTTACTAATAATCACTTTTCATGTGATAGGATTATACAACCTGTACCCTTTGTAATTGAACAATTCTTAATAAAAAAATATTTTTTCAGTTTTGTCCTCAACTTTTTTCTGAGTGGATCAGGAACATGGGCATAGGCAAACAATACTGAATACCATGCTTCTGACCACTCAAAATCTCATAGAGAGTTTTTTCCTTAAAACTTCTGGTAGGGAACATATACATCACAAGCAACAGTTTCTGCCCAAAAACTTTTGAGCATATTTTTAAATTTTATCATGCATCTAACCATATCCATAATAGTTCTATTTTTCCTGTCTGCCATACCATTATGTTGGAGAGTATACCTATAGCTATCAACTGATGTTTAATACCATGACTCCTCTAAAAATTATCACAAACAATATATTCATAACCTTTTTCAGTCCTCAAAACTTTAATATTTCTCCTAGTCTGCTATTCAACATAAGCCTTAAAATACTTAAATGTATCACATGCATTCGATTTATTTTTTAAAATATACACCCAGGACTTTTTGCTAAAATCGTTGATAAAAGTAATAAAATTCATACTCCCACTATTGGAAAGAACTTCAATAGAACACAAATCAGAGTGAATCAACTCAAGGGTCCTTTTTGCCTGCCAAACTTGTTTATTGGAAAAAAGGTCCCTATTTTTTTTTTCAAAACACAAGTCTCAAAAACTTGACTAGAAATATCAATTGTAGGCAAACCAAAAACTAATTTTTTTTTGGGCAATAAAATTTAAATTATGAAAATTTACATGATTAAACCGCATATGTCATAATCAATTATCTCTAGAAACTATGAAACCAAAGCAAGGTAAATTTTGACAATTAATTTGTAAAGGGAATAAATGATTGAGAGTCACACTTACCTTTGCTATTAGTCCCTGTAGCTATCATTGATAATGAAAACACTATTAAAAATTCTCATATTATACCAATTTTCTAACAACTGCCCCATATTTAATAAATTGTGATTGACATGGAACATAATAAACTTTTGAAATAGCCTTTAAGGATCCATCTTTTAATGTGATAGAAATCTTAAATTTTCCCTTTATTGGGATGGTTGAAGCATTTTCGAATTTAATATCTGATCGAACAAACTCATCAAATTTGAAGACCATCTCCCTGTGACCACACATGTGACTACTATAGCTTGAATCCAGGTAACCACTTGTTCTTTCGAACATCATCCACTGCTTTATCTACCAAAAATAAAGCTTCTGAATTATCATGATTGTCCTCTGTAATTTTAGCATGATAATTCTTATTGTTGATTCTCCTTAATTTGAGGCACTCCTTTTTATAGTGCCCTAATTTTCCACAATTATAGCACTTAATCTTGGATTTATCACGTTGTTCACCCCAGTTATAGTGCACTAGATCTGGTTTGCCATGTCCCCTAGTTATTTGAATTTTGATACTTCTGATTTGATTGAAATTTGTTGTGGAACTCATCATTCTCTTTCTTGAAGATCATTGGAGTCTGCAAAGCTTCATATCCTAAAATATATGTCATCTAATAGAATCTTTGTTCACGGGCTTACAAGGAACTCATCAACTCATCAATTGTTAGGGAATTAAGATCGTTCGACTGCATGATAGCTATGACAATATACTTGAACTTCATTGACAAGGTTCGAAGAATTTTCAACATAACTTGGAGATCCTTCACATTCTCGCCATTGGTTCTCATCTGATTGACAATAACCAACGTCAATGAGATATAATCAGATATATTTTCTAATTTTTCCATCTAAAAAAGCTCAAACTGTCTATGTAGGGTTTGCAACCGAACATTTTTTCATCTTATCTTGTCCATTATAACAATTGATCAAGACATCCCATGCCTCCTTGTCATCAAAACATGAGCAATCT